GCCTGCCCCTATTGTTGTTGTTGTTTGCTTTGCGCTATTTATGGCTGCCTTCCCTAGGTTCCACCACCGCCAGGCCCCTAGGCACCAACCTACCTCCTGACTGCGCTCTACAATGCAAATATGTATGTTTACTTCACTAAAGAAAACAATAACAACAGCTGTTGGGAAAAAAAAGATGGGAAAAAAGCGGGCATACATATGTATGGATGTACTCATATCAGATCCACGAAGAATATGGAGGTGCTTTCTCGTAAGCTTACATATGCATCTGCTTACTTGCATATTTTCGTTTCCATGCTTTGTATGGTTGTATGTATGTATGCACTTGTAAGAATGCTTTTTCATGCAGCGTCGTATGCAATTCAGCTTTAAATAGAGAATTATGGAATAAATGCAGTGAGATTGGTGGCAATTAGTAGCCGCTGCCATGGTGGCCCTATGGTTAAGTGCGCATATCCATACTTAAAAATATGTATGTATGGCATTGTGTGTGTTGCTATGTAAGACACAATAAGTTTTTATAGGAAAACAATTCGAGGAAGCAAACAAAGAGATCAGACAATGACACCATGGAGGGTGATTAAAATTTATATAAATTGAAATGTATCGTATTTTTTGCTCATTATTTTTTTAATTTATGAATAGGTATCGTTGTATAGATTATTGTGTATATGTACTACATATGTATGAAGGTAGATAGATAGCAAAATAATCTTAAAGTTTTCATCCTACTTTCAAGGTTAGCATCAGCAGTTTTGTAAATTAAGCGGCCAGCTCTACGACCTGTAATAGGTCTTTTAGCCGAAAGTTTACACTGCATCCTCCGTCGAACAAAGCCAAACGCAGAGTGACCAGAAGGCTGCACAAACTACCAACAACAAGTGCACCTCTTGTATTCACTTGCGGTGAAGTTCAAGTATCCATCGGGAAGGTGAAAGCCTCCAAAGCAATGGAACCCGACGGAATATGCATGTTGATGCTGAAAACTTTGGTTCCTGCGGGAGTAGATAATTTAGCCAAGGTCCTCAACCTGTCAATGGCCACTCTCGTCATTCCATACATCTGGAATATGGCAGAGTGGTCCGACTGCTCAAACCGGTGAAACCAGCCAACGAAGGAGAGTCCTATCGCCCGATAACACTCCTTTCTCCGGTAGCGAAGACACAAGAGGTCTTACTACTCCCGCATTTTACGAATCATCTGAGAGAACTGTTCTAGTAGCGTCAGACATAGAAGCTTCCTCTCTCCCACAGAGACTCAAACGGTGGTCGGCGAATTATTTGAGTAGTCGACACTCTTCAGTAGTGTTTGGGAGGCATATCGAGTAAACTCAGAAAAATAAAACAGGGTGGTGTCCTTTCCCCAGTAAGCTCCTCAACCACCAAAGGGAGTCTCGATTATCACTTACGCTGACGATTGCTCGATAATGGCGTCTGGGAATGGAATTGATGATTTGTGCTCGAAAGTAAACGGTTACCTCTCCGAGCTTTCTCACTTCTTCACTGCTAGGAGCCTAAACCCCTCCCCAACAAAATCGTCAGCTACCCTGTTCACCACTTGGACGAAGGATGTCACACTGCAGTTGGGTATTCACGTTGATGACATAGCCATTCCGATGGTGAATAGGCCTAAAATCCTCGGAGTAACATTCGACAGTCTGCGGTTCTTCTCCGCCCATAAAACCGCAGCCGCAACAAGGCCCTCAAGTCGCCAGCCGGCAGTACCTGGGGCAAAGACAAAGAAGCGTTGCTGGCAACACACAAGGCAATTGGCCGGCCGGTTCTAAGCTATGCAGCATCAGTGTGGTCGCCGGCAACCAGTACGACGCAGTGGATGAAGATACAGACGACACAAAATATAGCACTACGGGAGACCGGATGTCTTCTGATGTCGCCACAACATCATCTGACCACACACCCACCTGACGTGGACGAGACAGAGTTTCGTCTGCCTAGAGAGACTCGGACCACAATAGCCTAACTTCGATCTGGCTACTGCAGCAGCTTGAACTCATACCTTAGTCGATTAGATGCCCGATGTGTGTCCGGCATGCGGAGAGACACCCCACGACTCGAATCATCTCTTCGCATGCCCATAAAACCCCACTCAGCTGACGCCTTTGTCCCTATGGACAGACCCTATATAGGCTGCACACTTCTTGGCAGCGTTGCCATTTTAGCCGTTTTCCGGCTAGATTTAGCCGGTTTTGATAGCAACTAGCCGGAGAAAATTCGATCTAGCCGGCAGCCGATTTGTTAGCCGGTTTGTAAAAAAAAGTTAGCCGTTTTTAGCCGATTTTACTATTTGCCTAATTTTCAGGTGCAAAAAGTAAACAAGTTGTTCGAAAGCAATAATGCAGACCCAATGAAGATTTTTAATGAACTCAATGTTTTACTTTCGCATCTATGCTCCCTAGTGGTTATTAGCGCGGACACATTTGATCCTATATGCTCCCCGTTGGAACCATACCTTGCTCCATTTCCTCAGTTTTATCACAGTTTTGAAGAGTATTTAAAAACAAAAGTAAGCACAAACGCTTTTGACCACGAAGCCGAGAAAATAATTCGAGAAAATGGTCGCTATTTTATTATCACTTTAATAAAGGAATTACGCCAACGCCTCCCTACAAATATTGCCACACTAAAAAAAATTGACTTTTTTCGGTTGGAAATGCATTAAGAGTAATTAAACCAAAAGTATTTGTTCAACTACAGCAACAAAAACCCAAATATAATGCCGACGAAATAACATCCATAGAGATGCAATGGCAACGGTTAACGTTACATACCTGGAGTAATTTAGACTCAACTGTAAAATTTTGGGCCGAAGTTTATCAATTTCGAAATGCCCTAGGAGAAAACCCTTTTGCTGACCTTTGCAACCTAGTTTTTAGTTTTCTTGTTTTGCCTATAAGTAATGCAGAAGTAGAGCGAATATTTAGTTCAATGAATATAATAAAAACTAAGCAAAGAAATCCAATGTGCGTTAAAACGTTAAACGCTATTTTATATATAAGATACGGTTTAAAACGTGAAGAAAAATGCTGCCATAATTTTACTGTAGATGACGATCTCTTAAAATTAATGAATTCAGGTGATATATACAATAGTGATTCATTTGATGATGAGGAATATACACTCGATATAAATTAATGGTGTTAACTAGTCTTTCGTTTCTTGCGATTTATTTAAATAAAGCATGTGAATTTTCACTAAAACATTTTAGCCGTTTTTAGCCGCTTTTTTTTGCCAATCTAGCCGGTCGGCCCAAAAAGTTCTGGCAACACTGCTTCTTGGGTCTTCCGTTAGTTGAACTTGACGACAACGACTGAGAAGGGTGACTTAAAAAGTTCATGCAATTTTTTTCTTTAGGGATTTATAGTTTTTCGTTCAAATGTAACAGTTATTTTGGGATTTTTGGATCATTTTTAACCGTTATAATAAAGACTACGTTTTTGTGACTGATTTAAATATTTTATAATCTAAAAAACTAAATCTGAAAATAACGGTTATAATATGATCGAATTCTCATATAAATATTTAAGATTACCGTTAATTTCTTCATGATCCAATGATAAGATCTAAACCAATTTAATATGAGACCACCTCTGAGCTACCGCCTTTCCTTTAAAACCAGAATTAAATAAATCAGTTAATAAAAAATAAATAAAAAATTCCGACGAATTGCTAACCTCCTCCTTTTTTGAAGACGGTTAAAAATAAACATCAGAAATTATTCGGAAAAATAGAAATCCAATTTTAACGATTATAATAAATAATTAAACATCTTTGTTATACAGATAATAGCCTTGTGCGTCCCTATTTTGAAACACTTATAGGGAAAATTAAGGCAAGTTTCACCAATCAGTTTTAAAACTTATCAAACTGCTAAAATTTAAAATTACAAATTTTTCAAACAAAATTGGGTTCTTTTTAAATTTTAACAGGCTGATAAATTTAAAATTGATTGATGCATCCGGGCATAGGTATGTTAAATTAAAAACAAACTTGTTTTATAATTTTTTAACAATTTTCATGAAATATTCGTAAACTTTAAATTAAATTTTTACTTAAAAACAAAAAGTATTATTTAAAAATTCACCTAAAGGGATTAAGCGGATCAGAATGGCCTATGGACACTAAAAAAAGCGAAAATGTAATATTTAGAATTTTTATGAAAAAAAACTAAAATTAATTAATATAAAATTACATTTTTTCTTGAAAAAAAAACAACGGTTTTAGTTTAAAGACGACGTATGTAAATCAGAAAGACCTATGGAAATGCGAAGTTAGTGACAATAATAAGACGCGGTAACACTAAGGAAAAAAGTAATACCTACCCAAATTGTATATGTATTAGCTTTTTATTCGGAAACAGGCCTCTGTAATGAGGACATGTATATTTTAAAATTTTTAGCGATTTTTATTAAGAAAACCAAAACAAAAATTAATATAAAACTATATTTTTACTTAAAGAACAACAGGTTTTAGTTAAAAAAAATACCCCCATAGATTAAATAGATCAGAAAGACTTTTGGAAACTCGAAGTTAGCGCCAGTAATAAACGGTAACAAAAAATTAAAATGAAAAACGAATTTTCTGTGAAAATGTACGTGAAAGAATTTTTTTTTTATTATTTTCCCATCCAGCAGAGAAATGTAAATTTTGCCGACAGTGCGGTTTATTGTTCAAGCTGAACATTTGAAAGCATGTACTTATACATAGTTGGCAGTGACTGTGCGTACAGAAGAACGTGCCACTGAGTCACTTCATACATTTTTTTCGAACCATGAAGTGCAGAAGGAAGGCGTATTGAACGAAAAATTTAATCAGACGAATTTCAGAAAATCAGCCGTATCCATTTCACAACATTTTTCGGTACTTGTCTGTACATACGTTTTGCCGCACATTTTAGTGGGAAAACGGATTATCAATGTAACGGAAAATGGAATCGGTAAACGGACAATAATCCGCATTTCATCCACTTTTTTCCTTTTGCAGATCCATTTTCGTTTTTTTTGCTGGCTGGGCACCGCTTTTTTAGACCACGTTGCCAACTAAATTAATAGATGGGTGGAATTACCAAAAGCAAGAAAAGTGTTACCGAAAATTACCCAGAACGCGCTATCGATGAAACGGTTTTGGACATTTATGCGGCTAGCGCGAATCGGTTTAGGATATTTTTCTCTATAGACTTGAAAAAAGCAACCCTGCCAGGTGAAGAACAAGCATATTTTTTTGGGTGGTGAATTTCATTGCAATTTCATGTCAATTTTAGCTGGCTGAAAAATACTTTTGGATTTAATTTTTAATATTTTTGCTGTAGCCGTAAACATTTTTTCCTGCTCATCGGAAATTGGATAAATATTTTATTGCAAATCAATCTGCGAACCTATCAAGCTGTGGAACAGCTCAACGCGAGTGTGTATGTCCTCCAATAGCGATCAAGATTGCTATATTAAAAATGGATAATTCCGATGCATCGACGCTGCTGATAAAAAATATACCAAAATCAATTAGCGACATTACAAATCTCCTACCCTATGCACCAAAGGAATTGAAACAATTCGGGCGGCGACGCGTACTGGTGACATACGAAAATGAGGCAGTTGCTCAGACCGTTTTGCAGCAGTTGCAACAATTGGAGCTCATACCCGGCAAGCATTTGAATGCAGCTTTCTTTCGAAAAAATGAAAAGCCCGCCGCTAATGTGAAACCCAGTAAAAAAGTGACATCCAACAAAACAACGCAGACGAGTTTGCACACAGCTGGCGATGCGGCGGCACCCCAAATCAGCAAGTACGTGTCCAAGCTGTATGCATGTGATGCTAAATTGAATTTCGTGCAACCGCCACCACCATACCTTAAGTACGCATATCCACGCATCACACCAGACATATTGGATGCTATAAGCATTGCCTTGATGAGCAATACACGCTTCTATACACAAGTGCTGCACTTAATGAATCGCATGAATCTGGAACCACCTTTTGGCACTAAACCGGCCGGTATGAGTTTGCTTCGAAGATGGCCGCGTGATGTAGGCACGCAAACTGCAAACGAAAATGTGGAAGTAGGAGTGGAGAAAGTATTAAATGTGGAAGCAAGAGTCGAGAAAACCTTAAATGTGGAGCAAAGTAGCAGGCAAACAGAGAAATCTGAATCTGAGCTAGAGTCATCCGAAGAGGAAGAATGCAGAGGCAACAAAACGCACGGAAGCACTTCAAATAAAGTAATATTGAAGCGTAAAGGAGTTGGCGATTTGGAGGAGCAGTATAAAAAGAAGGCGCGTCAGCTGCTACAAGCGACACTGCATCAACAAAAACAATCCAACCAGGCGGATGCAACACCTGACAGCTATACCAAGTCTAGTGAGCTACAAAATGTGTTTGAGCAGACAGCTACAGCTGGCAAGGCGAGAAGAATTGCTTTGAAACTGCAGCCGCAAAAGCCAAAGAAATCTCTAGAAGCATTTGTTCCGCCCATTGAGCTCAGTGCTGAACGACTCACAGTCGAACAGTTGCAGGAATTACCTATTTATAAAAACTATCAAATTGGTGCGCCTACTAATAAATTGTATATCAAAAATCTTGCCAAAGATGTGTGTGAGGAAGATCTCAAGCAGCTGTATTCACGCTTTGTAGCAGCTGATTGCTTGGATATAAAAGTGATGCAGCAGGGACGCATGAAGGGACAAGCATTTGTGACTTTCAACGGCCTGAGTGAAGTCGATGCGGCGGCGGGGGTTTCTAAAGCGTTGACGGAAACCAATGGTTTTGTACTGCGGCAAAAGCCTATGGTGGTGTGCTATGGCAAGAAGTAGAGAAATGTAGGCAACACAAGTTTTTAACGTCATCCGAGATTAGTATATAAGTCCTGCAGAGTGTGCCCTGCGTGTGTGTGTTTAGTTTTTAGCTATTCGATCGCATGTCCTTTTATTCACACCAATGTCTAATTTTATTTATAGTTTTTAATTACATTTGGTTTTTTTCTCCTTGCAGACAACTAGGTCTCCTCGAAACCATATACGTGGAAGGTGAATCAGGCACTGACAAAAATAATTCTAGTTACTTAACAAAGCTGCGTAAACCACAGTTATCGATGCAGCCATACAAATATTTGATATGCATGGATTTTGAAGCGACTTGCTGGGAGAATCAGGCGCCACCTAAATGGCGTGAAGCCGAAATTATCGGTAATAACATACTCGACACATTTCTAATTATCTTCTTATCATGTTTTCATATCTTCTATACACAGAATTTCCTGCGGTGATGATAAATCTGCAGACAGGCAAAATTGAAGCAGAATTTCACAAATACGTCATGCCCATCGAGTCACCCAAATTAAGTGCTTTCTGTACCGAACTGACCGGCATAAAGCAGCAAAGTGTCGACAATGGCATGCCGCTACAAACCGCCATAATGATGTTCCAAGAGTGGTTACGCAAAGAGCTGCGTGCACGAAATTTACAACTGCCGAAAATGTCCAAAGATAAGCTTATTGGCAATTGTGCTTTTGTCACCTGGACTGACTGGGATTTCGGCATTTGCCTGGCGAAGGAATGCCAGCGGAAGCGACTGAAGAAGCCAACCTATTTTAATCAATGGATAGATTTGCGAGCAATCTTTCGTGAATGGTATAAGTACAAGCCCATCAACTTCGCAGATGCATTGTCGCATGTGGGGCTCGCATTTGAGGGGCGTGAACATTCAGGTATCGATGATGCGCGCAATTTGGCGGCTTTGGCTTATAAGCTAACATGCGATGGCGCACCGCTGGCGATAACGAAGGACCTCGCGCCATTTCAACTCAACTCGAATTGTATACTTTAAGCAGCGAGGGGCATCGAAACAAGTGACTGAGACATACATAGTAACAGAGGGGTTGAGGTTCATATTATATTTTGCTTTGGAATTGACTACAAAAAATACTAAATATTTGTATGTAGGACTTGAAAGATTACACTGTCCAACAAAATTCGTAAAATATTGTAGACGATTCTTATATCATTTTTCGTAAAGCTATTGGATTGGCTCTAGTTTTCGAGCAACTTAGGTTTAAAGGGGCCGTTTAACCATATTTTTTTGATTTTGAGTATTAAATTGCATCACTTTATTGTTTTACAGAGGCTCGAAAATGTCCACAAATGCGTTTTTCGCAACCTTTTAATCTAAGTTGCTCGAAACTAGAGCCAATCCTATATCTTTACGGTCCGATTCAGATTCTACGGGAAAAATCCTATAAGAATAAGCTGTAATATTTTAGTCAATATAACATTGTTTAAATTTTGTTGGCCTGTGTTATTTTCGGTACTAATTAAAAAATTTGGTTTTAGCAGATTTCATATATTTTAAATTAAATGTGTTATAAGCAGATTAATTTTAATTGTTATAAGAAAAAATTGAAATTGAAATTTTCGCAATGCTTTTATTTCTTTACATATACATATCTTTATATGGAAAAAAAAACTTGCATTAAATAACATGCTAAATTTTTTATTTCTACGCATTAGTGTCAAAAACACATAAAAATCAGGTTTAATAGTTTGTTTTTTTTCTACAAAATACAGCAAATGTTTTGGAAATGCTTAAACGCTTGACCAAAAACACTAATAAAATATGTATGCTTTCAAATAAGAAAATGCAACTGTAACAAGTACTTTAATCCCCTTTTTCTTTTATACATATTTATTTTAATTTTTTTTTATAAATATAGATAAGTTATTAAAGCACAACTAAATTATTAACTTAATATTGAATATGACGAACACAGCAACTATAATCATAGACATGGTATAAAATATTTAATAAGATATCGTTTTAAAAGAAAACAACATTTTTATACAAATACATTTTATATGCATAAAAAAGTGAAATATACTCGTACAATAAATGTCCAAAAAACTTAATTTGTAACAATTGTTTGTAATTTAGTATAAAAAAATGCAGACAAAGACTTGGTTCGTTAGTTAGTTAGTCAAAGGTTGAGTGGAGGATCGGCCTATCTCAGCAAATTGAATTTATAGTTTTATTCTTTTTTAACAAATTCTCAAATAGTGCGTTCTTCAACCAATTACTGAGATAGGGTGATCGTCATAAGTGCAGAATACGGCCCTTTAAGCTAGAAAATAGACGAAGAAGTGGGCGTGGTCCGCCCTTTTTTCTGATTCTAATGGTGTACAAATTTGTTGGTGCAAACTTATATTGCAGGTGCTATGGAGTGGCAAAGGGGGAATTTTCGAAAAACGGGCCTTATTCTGCACTTGTTCCAGGTGATCTTCCACTCAGCCGCCGATATAGGTACTGAGAAATTCGTTTATGCGAGGAAAAGTGGCATTCATTGATATGCCTTCAGATGCTGCCCTTAGCGAAGTTGGGTACGGTTTGGTAAATGGCCCAACTATTTCGGGCTATTGCGTGCAAAGGGGTGCCTCAATCCATAAAAAAATTCCACACACTAATAATCAATGGTCTACACATTATTTTAACACCTACCTTTGTTATTTTCGGCCCGTAATTTATTTATAAATTTGTTTTTTTAATATGCCACTTCATCAATACGTTTTTGTAGTCGTCTTCACTTTATTCTATTCGTTATAACTTTTTTTATGCCTTTAGTTTCTACAAATTACACAAAATACACAATTTAATAAATAAAAACACCTTGCAAACCACACTTGTGCCTTTGGCGGCATATGCAAATTAAATGGCGGGATTCAGCTGTCAAACTGCAGTTTATGCAAGAAGGACGAGAGACAAAAGAAAATAAGATATAACCCAGTAATAAAAATATAACATATCGATGGCTGAGTGGAAGATCGACCTATCTCGGCTGCCAGTTCGAAAACGTTCTATCTCAAAAAACTTTTCAAGAACGCCCTATTTCAGTATTTTATTGAAAAACACCTTATCTCAAAATTCGGTTCAAAAACGCCCTATCGCACTTCAAAATGTATTGAAAATATGCTGATATAGGGCGTTTTTGAATCGGCAGCTGAGATAGGGCGTTTTTGAAACGAATTTTGAAATAGGACGTTCTTGAAAAGTTTTTTGAGATAGAATGTTTTCGAACTGGCTGCCGAGATAGGTCGATCTTCCACTCAGCCATCGATATGCTCTCTGCAAAAAGTGTTCAGCCTCTCTTCTTCGGCAACACAGAAAGGAGAATTCTACTTAGGAAAGGTTAGGAATAGGCCGAAGGGCGACTACGCAGAAAGAAGGTCTGCGCTAAAATACTATCTTATTACTATAACGTGTACACCTGCCACGATTTTTTTTTTTAATATAACAATATTTTTAGCGAAACTTTTATATACAACGGCGTAATTTCTTTTATTAAAAAATCATACGGTTTCTGTTAGTTGGGTTATATTCCACTTCAAACTGCTCAGTTTTCCGCAGTAAATTCCTCCTTCCCCATTTTGAAACAGTTCCCTAGGGGTTTGAGGGTCCTAGGGAGGGATGTGGCTTGTTATAAAGTGGGACTGACCCCTTTCTAATGGAAGGNGGGGGGGGGGTTTGGGGGGCCCCCCCCCCCCCCCCCCCCCCCCCTTTTTAAGAATTTTCCAGATCCCCAAACTGTGTACAAATATGGCTATATATTAAACAAAATACTTCTTAATATTTAAAAAAATTCTGCATTTATTTGTATAAATATTTTAAATGTAATAAAAAAAAAGTGCCAAAAAGAATTTTGACTGCCGAAACCCGGGATTGAACCGGGGACCTTTAGATCTTCAGTCTAACGCTCTCCCAACTGAGCTATTTCGGCACATGCTATTTTATTGCCAAATGCACTATTTATAGTCAATGACGTTTTTTCTGATAAGCAAAGAAAAATAGATGATAAACGTGTTGAGGTGAATGAATAAATACTCACCACAGAAGATGTAAACAATGAAGTGAGTCTCCACAGACCGGTTTAAAATTAGAGGCTACCATATTTCTTGAAGTGAAATTTCTTTGGTTGTTGGACGTAAATTCAAACTTCGGCGGAACGAAAAAAAAACTTCAGTAGTAGGAGGAATGGAGTTCGTGGTTGCGCACGATTAACGTTGTATCTGAAACACAGATAATTGCTCATTATTATGGGGAAAAATGCTCATATAATATGATGAGCTATTTGGGTAACAGAAAGAATTTTCACTTCAGTCGCGGATGGGATCCACGCACATATATTTTTTGTTTTCAAATGAGGTAACTGCTAGACTTTATATAATTAAATAATCAGCCTTATGATGAGTTTCATTTTCCCCGAACCGGTTCAAGAATGATAGAATACAAGATTGCGCCGATCAGAGAGGATTTTTGAGAATAACTTTTGTGTGACGTCACACTGGTGCAATTGCGAGAGAGAAATGCCAAAACGTGAGCAAGAATGGAAGAAGAAGAAAAAATGTTGCAAGGAAAACGTAAACAAGTTGCACAAGTGTGACGTCATGCAAACAACGATTCTGTCAAATTCGTTAAGAGAGGAATAGCGGTCCGAGATCGGCGCAACCTTTGTATTCTCTCAATCGTGGAACCGGTTCACTTTTCACTTTTGGTTTCCATGGTTTTACTATGGGCGGATGACAAATTTTCGGGCGATTTTTTTTTCGTGTGAAACTCAGGATAAGGCAGAATGAATTTTTATCAAACAGATACCTGCATAAATAAGTTGAACAAACATTACAAAATTTTGCGTAGGTTGGCACAATCCTACAATTGTCGCTGCCGCAAAAATTTTGTCATTAAAAAGTATTAAAACCCGCCCAGTATTCTCAGTTGTAAGAAAGTCATAAATAATTGAAGGTTGTTTTAACGAAATGAACCATTAATCAGAAAATTACCATCGCATGCATGTGACTAGGCGATTTGCATACATACCAGACTTCTCCTATAGTAACCGTTGAATGGCATTTTCACTGTAAATTATATTACAACCATTTTGACATGGCAAATGTGGGGCCTTATTTTTTACTATTTTAGGATATGTTATTATATTTTCGAACCGTCTTAGTTTGAAAGCACTTTTTTGCCTATTTATACAAATTTCCCATACAATTAATCCTATATTTTTGGTTACTATATATTTTGGCTTACTATGTACATACTTATGGAGAAGTCTACTTGTTTAAGCACTTACTCGATTCATGTTCCAGCCCTCAAGTATCTAATTTTTTCACACTCAATATAGTCAGGTAAACTTTGATGATAAACTGCTGATTCGTAGCTTTTTGCGTATTTTTTTCTATAAAAATAAAAAATAAATTGTGACAGAAAATTTTCACCGGGTGAGGACGAAAAAGAGAAAAATGAAAAAAATATAAACAAATTTGCATTACTAAAATTCTTTGCATGAACATGTCATGTTTGCATTGTGTATGGCGATATGGGAAACGTAGGTTTGAAGTTTGTTTCACAAGCCGCTTGTGCGTGTATTTCGCTCTTAATTATATTCATTTAAAAGCGTGAAGCCCTCGCAAACTGGGAATTAGCATGGAAAGCTTTTTGCACAAAAAGGGCAACATTCCGCGGCAAACGCATTTTCGAAATGACTGCGGAAAGACATAAGTATTTACTTATATATGTGTTTAAATTGTTAAACTTTTTAAATTAAGACCCATCAAATATTTAACTGTCAAAATTGCACAAAAAATAAAAATGTCGTCATGAAACACACTGTGCAAAGTTTCCTAACTGCCAAAACATAATTCTTGTGTGTATAAATGAGTACCCTTATTTTTTGGTATACTCTATCAAGTGGACTTCAGAACATTTTTATGCAAAATCTGCCATTACCTGAGTTTCGCCCGAAAAATATAAACCCGAAAATTTGTTATCCGCCAATAGTAAATACATGGAAAAAAGCGAAAAGTGAACCGGTTCGGGGAAAATGAAACTCTTGATAAGGCACAAATATTTGATGGAGGTCATAAATAAAATAATAGGAGCAAAAATTGAGCATCACTACAATTTTTCACATTGCGGGTGCGTTTCTTTATACATTCCGGATAAACCCATTTCACAACCAGAATAAACAGAATGCCATTGAAATATACGTTTACATATCATCAGGAACGTTCTAAAGAATAAGTAAACAAAAAAGTTTATTCCAAACGTTCAGAATGAATAAAGAAATGCAGCCTGCATATCCTACTATAACCTTGTGATATGTTGAGACAAATTTAAAGGCGCAACTGTAGCTTTTGCCCATCAAGGTAAACCAATAAGCTCAACAACAAAACTCATAAAAATCACCAAACCGCTAAGGGGAGAAGAATTATGAGACACGCAAAGGGGAATTTGTTGTACTCTTGCAAAGAAAGAAATAGCTTGTTTTTATTTGTAAAAATTTTTAGTTAGAATGTAATTATAAGTATGTATGTTTCATTGAAACTTCAAAATTCTGTTTTTATATACATAGGTGGCTCATGGAAAACTCGTAATGTGGCAATATTTTTGCCAACCATCTTTAAGTGGGTATGGTGGATTTTGCAGATACATACGTACATTTATTCAACATACTTTCGCACAGAAGACCGGTTTCGGTTTGGTTCTTTTGGCCGATGCTGACAAATGTGTTATTTGTTACTCACCATCCAACTGCCGAAATAGCTCAGTTGGGAGAGCGTTAGACTGAAGATCTAAAGGTCCCCGGTTCAATCCCGGGTTTCGGCAATGGAAAATTTATTTTTATTTTCTTTTTTCCCTAAATAATATAATAATTTAATTTTTTCAATGTAAATATACTTTGCACAAACTATTTGAATTAAAAATGTGCGGCGTATAAAATTATTAACACAAACTTTTTTTCTCTGTTGTATAAAAAAAAAATATGGAACAAAAAAAGTAGGAATTGCCGAAACCCGGGATTGAACCGGGGACCTTTAGATCTTCAGTCTAACGCTCTCCCAACTGAGCTATTTCGGCGGATGCTAGTTGGCTGTCAAAGGTGTGTTTTATTATTAGAGAGCGAAGAAGCGTTGCCACATTTACATTTGCTAGGCAAATATAAAAATTATTAAAGAAATCAGTAATGAAATAAATACATATTAATATAGTAAAATATATTTGTATATGTACATATATAACATAAGAATATTAATATAAATAAATTATTAAAGAAATCTTCATTTTTATTATTATAATGCATAAAAAATGTCTTTTGAAAAATGTATTTGTGCTTACAGAAAACTATAAGGAGTTTATTTTGAAAATAGAGAACTTGCCGTTCGAAAAATTTTCAGCAAATAAGTAAAGTATTACAATTTATTACCCTAATTTTAGGAACTATTCAAAATTTTCGTTCTACGTTTTTCGTCAATTACTCTAACCGGGTTTCAAAAAATATTTAAATCCACTACTCTACTTCGCTTGTCTTAAAACCTGCTCCATTTCTGCACTCACGTTCTGATCCTCTTAAAGCCGATTACCCACAATTTTCAGTAAAAAAAAAAATAAAGTAGAAACTTACTGATAAAAAGAAACTCACTTCATAAAATAAGCCAATATAGAAATTCAGCTGCTTAAACAACAAAAAAAAAAAAAACGTGAAAATATGGCACAGCATATTCCAACTAATTTTTTTTTGCATTGCAGTGCTACTGTAAAAAGTTTTAGTATATAAAACCCAATAAAAATAAAATTAGAAAAATACTGAAAGTAGCAGAGGTTCACTGCCTAAAGATATCTTTTTAAAAAGGGTTTGTTATTTATGTTTTGCTTTATATACTTAGCATACTCATACAAGTAACTACTTAAATATGTTTGCATATTTTTTGATTAACAGCCAGTTTTACGAAAGGAATTTAAGTGAAAAGTTGTTTTTTTTCTTTTTTGAATTTAATATGGAAATTGACAGACATTTTTTGCACTTAAAATTGTTTTCGTGAAACCGGCAGTAACTGTTCAAGCAAAATTTTAAAATTTCTCATTCGCATAAGAGTGACAATCAAAAATGCAAATTTACCACGGAAATTTCGATTTTCTCCAATTTTACGAGTGATTTAATCCTTCATCGAGTTTTATTAGTACGAACACCGTTTTGCGCGCTTTAAAATCCATTCGCTTCAAAATGTTTTCAAATGAATCGAGGCTTGAAATTCTGGACGCAGATCAGTTTAGGTCAAATATGCGATTGGCTCTTGCTCTCTGTTCGGCTAAGAGTCTGAAATCCAAACAAAGACAATTCAGAATCAAATTTTCTGCGATACTCTTCGTACTGATGTCTAAAATAATTTTAGCTAAAATTAATGCCACAAATAGGGTACACAAAAAAAATTTGGCTTATAAAATTTCAAATATCGTCTTTACATTAAAATTTCTGACTAATTTGCCTTAGATCCGATCTTTGGATTATGAAGAAATTAACGATACTATAAAATTTGTATATGAGAATTGTAGTCAGGTTTGCTAATGAAAAATTCGACAGCAGGCATCGGTTTTGATCAATTTGTATATATATTTTTGTTAAAAAATAATCGTTATTTTGGATTTTTATTTTTTTCGACCATTTGAGATTGCGTTTTTAAGACCGTATTTAATGTCTTATGATCTAAAAAAGTAAATCTGACAATGACGATTATGTGTAGTTCAATCGAAAAAATTTAAATCAAAACTAACGTTAAAAAATTTATCGAAAAAATAAAAATCCAAAAAGTAACGCTTAAGTTGATCGGAAAAATATAAATTCAATGATCATAACCCAAAATTTTTGTTCTAATAATATTGCTGAGGCTCTCAGTTCTAGAAGAAAGTAAATCGGCTTTTTGCATTTCAGCGACGTTGTGAGATAAGGCCTTTCTATATTAAGATATGTACATATATAACTGCTGCATTTTGATTGCCTAAGCAGTTACCAGTAGAAATTGAAATTTTCTCTCCATAGTAAAAGTAAAAGTTGTTCACCTTTACAAAAGTAACAAATAAAATAAAAAACGAATAGTCTCCACATTTTTGTTATTAAATATATATTTATAATTTAATTACATTTTATTAGTTAAACTAAACTTTATTATTTTGTTTATAATTTCAATTTTTCATTACACATTTTATTCATGTATAAAAAAAACCTAACTTAAAAATATTTTTTAGGTATTTTACGATTTTCTATAATTTCTCTCTAACACTAATCGTGACTAATTTCAACTCGTTGTTTAAAAATAATTTAAGCTTGAGTCGACCGCAGTTATGCAGTTTTACATACAGTTAAGAAGAGTTAGAATAGCCTAAAACGCAGAAGTATAGAGTTTTATTATTTTTTTATCATTTTTGTATGGAAAGGCACATGGATTTTTTACGGACGAATTATTATTATTATAAGACATTCCAGTTTAAAGGAAGATATTTAAATTTCAAAAAATAAAATTATTTTTTTTTTCGTAGTGGAATATTTACATACATTAGTAGGTGCATCATTTTTACCAATAAAAAATTTAGTGCTCAAAAATCAATAAATATTTTATAAGAAATTTAAAAAATGTGGTATTTTGAGTATTTTGTTTTATTTTTTTTGTGCTCACTGTACACACAAAAACATATACTTGTGTACTTATATGTACATAAGAAATTTTAATTATAATTACATATCTTTTGATTACTATAACAACTAAAAAAAGGACAATCATGTGTATATGTATAGGTACATATTTAATTAAATAACTTTCCTTTTTCGCACTGTTGATTAATATTGTTTAAATTATTATTTTTTCTAAAATATATTTGAGTTATAAGTTTAATATTTCTTCTCGTTATATCTTTATCCTTTTACGTCACTCAAAAGTCTGGATCGTAGTCTCGCTGATAACGAGACGCTCGACTCGCATGATTGCTGTTGTTGCTGCTGTTGTTGTTGTACGTATACATGGGATGCGCATCCGCAAAGGCATCAGGATACTGATGATATGGGTGCTGAAGCTGTGACATCGTATGATGTTGTTGTTGCTGCTGATGATGATGATGATGTTGGCTATGTGGTTGCTGTTGTTGTTGGTGGTGATGATGTTGGTGAGCGCGTTGCAGCGAATCACCCTTTTGTGAGTAATTAGTTTGAGAATCGTGGAAATAGTCACCGTGACGAGTGGAACGCCAACTATCGTAGATATTGGAACTATTACTGCCGTGCAGGGAATTGGTGAAACGCTGTGGAAATAATAAAAAGCAAAGAATGGATGAGTGTTTCCGATCTGAACATAAATAATTTTGTAGGACTTTGATTGATCCTCATACGCTTACCTTCGGTTTTATCGGTTGCTTGGTATCGTTCCATGCATCATCTATATTATAGAAATCATCGACGCCATAATTTTCCGCACCACCCATATGATTGACCTTCAGCTCGTTCAGCATGTCACTGGTCAGCGCTATGGGCGTCTTTTTAGAGCGCTTTTGACGATTGAGGAGCTGCAAGGAAAATAATTATAATTTACAATCGAAGCCACAAAAGTTCTGCTCCAGCGCGAATTACTCACCACAGTCACGCCGAAAATGACAACAAATATCAGTGATCCTACGCCAATAACAATAACTACTATCGCCCATTGCGGTATCAGCAAATCTTCCTCGGCGAACTCCACCATAGGTGACAGCGATTTGGGTATAACTAAAAAGAAAATAAATAAAATTTCTGTGTTGTTCAGCTCAAGTTTGTATCGAGTTTATACTCACCACTAAAGTCTGTTGCCGCCGGATCGATAACGTATTTGCCCATTAGGAATGTCTCCTTGATCAGCTTCTCTTCCTTCGCTTCGCGATACTTTCCGCTGGCCGATTCCTCTTCATCCTCATTGTCGGTCTCGTTCTCTGTCTCTGGTTTGTGCGCCAAAATCATCTCCGGTGGTGGGTGTGTTAAAGCATCGTGGAAGAGTTTCTTGATCTCTAGCGTGTTCACATCATCTGTGATGTTGGCCAACTCGACATAGTAGTCTACAAGCACGCTACCCTGACTGAAGCTGTCGATGCGCACCTTCTTGTACCAGCGACTTAGTTGTGGCGCCTTGGCGTAGACTTCGTTGAGCTATGAGGAAAGAAAGAAAAGATTTGTGATTGTTAGTTTTTGGGAAATTTTTAAATACCAAAGGTAATAGCCCACCTCTGCCTCCACTTCGTGCGCTAGATTTTTCCACTCGAGCGTATTATGATCCAAAAGTTCTGGCTTCCAAGCTACACCATCTATGATTTTTATGGTTGCTGCCAGATCACAATCGGCGGTGCAGTGTCCAGGTTTTGTGGGGCGTGGCGTTGTCGTGGTCGTTGTTGTAGTTGTGCTTGTTGTGGTGGATGTGCTGCTGGACGATAGTAAATCTTCAAAGTTGATGCTCACCGTTCTGCTGAGTTCCAATAGCTTCTCAATCGAGATGGGCGTTGTGGACGGTGTGGGCCAGCCAGTGAACTCGGTGGTGGCGCGTGTGGGTGGGCCCTTTTTGATAACCACCGCTGGGGAGTTGCCTGCCTCATTATTTTGAACTTCGCCAACTGTGCGTGGTGTGGTTAAGCGTGTGGCTCCTAAGCGCTTGTGTACGCCCTTAGGGAAGACGACCTTGAAACCAGAAGCAGCTGTAGTGCTGGCGAGTGGGTCATCGCCGGTGCTGGACTCGGTAGTTGAGGAGACAGTTAGTGTTGTCATGGCTTCCTCCACCGTTTTCACCTCGGTCTTTTGAACCGCTTTCTCTGTCGCTACTGTGGGTTTAAAACCTTTCGGTAGTAGCTGGGAAATGTCAATGGTCTCAGGTGCTGGCAATGTATCCTTCTTAATTGTATCATTGAGTTTGAAGCCCGGTGGAAGGAATTTCGAAATGTCATCTGCCTTTAGTGGTATTATGGCGCCAGCCAATTTATCAGACTCATCGTCGGATTTAGCAGGTGGTTTGTAGCCTGGAGGCAATAGCTTGCTGATATCATGTGACACAGCGGCAACGGGCTTACGCATTGGCGTGGCAGTGCTGCTCAACTTGTAACCTGGTGGCAAAAACTTCGATATATCATCCACTAGCGTTACCGCTGGCTTGGGGGTTGTAGCTGCCTTTTCTTTGTAGTCTTTCGGCAGCAGCTTATCGAGGTTGTCATCGAATTTAATCTTACTGAACAGGTCCTTGATGTCGGCTTTAGTAGTCGCCTCTGTCGTAGCGGGTGACTTATAGCCCTTGGGCAAGAGTCCAGCCACCGCCACGTCTTGCGCTACCACAGCATTATTCTTGAACGAACGACCAATTGTAGAGTTGCGCGCTGGTTTCTTCACTTCAGCTTCCGTAACGTCGGGCGCAATCGTCGTTGACGTTGTTGTAGTCGTAATCTTGCGGTTCTTATACGAGGAACGGGGCTTGAAACCGACTGGCAGCAGTCCAGCTAACTCATCCATTTCACTCTCATCGAAGTGATGCACCTTAACCTTTGAGGCGGCGGTGGTCTTTGGTTGGAACTTACGTATATTGGGCACGAATCTCGAGCCTGAGGTAGTGGTGGTCGCTTTTGTAGAAACGTCCATTTCGGTGATGATTGGATATTTCCCTGAGAGTAGGCCACTCGATAGCTCCGATTGCACGCGATCCAACTTGTCAATAATGCTCTCTGTTGAAGATGCAGCCGTATTTGTGCTGGACTTGTCCACCGTGTGAGACATCACTTCTTCGCCACTATCCATGGGCTCATCGGTGTCCACGTTCTTCCCATTTTTCTTCGATGTTGTTTTCTGCGAATGTATCTTGCGTTCCAACTCGGAGAGTGTCTGCTTTGTCTCTTCCTGTTCGATGGCGGGGAAGGGCAGGAAGCGTGCGCCATTGATGCTGCGACTGGTTTGTATGGAAGCGATTACCACGTAGCTCTCGGTTGTATTGCTCATGGACTCATCATTTGCCGTAGAATTGTCAGCAGTCTTTTCAATTGCCAGCACTTCAGCAGCTTTCTCCTCATCCACCTTAGCCGGTTGCATATTGTTCTCCACAAAGATGGCTTCTTCGTCGCTGGCAAGTGTCGTCGTCGAACGTTGAGTTACCGGTGAAGGGAATGCAGTAGAGCCATTTACGACACTCTTGGTGGTTACAACGGATACCACCTCCCGATCAATTGTGTCTTTATCGTCTTGAGGTGAACTGCTTGCCTCTGCATCGCGCTCTCGCTCTTGGTTTGCGTCTTCAGTCTCTTCTAATTCTCCACCTTCTTCTTCGTATTCTTCGTCTTCATAATCTGCGCTAGCTTCATAGTTGGCATCCTCGTTTTCCTGCGCTTCATCCTCCTCAGTCACTTTATGATTTGGCGGCATAGGCGTGGTGGCCTCGTGTGGTGCAGTTGTAAGTATATCAGCATTCGCATCCTCAAGCTCCTCATCGCTTACGCTAGTCAGTGGTAGTTCGGTGGTTGTGGTCACTTTAGCTTCGGATGTACTAGAGATTGTAGCAGACTCTGCTGCCGCACTAGTCGATGTCTGATTATGCTTAGCTATCGTTACCGTTGGATCAGTGGACTCCTCTTCGTCGCCATATTCGTCCTCATATTCCGAGCTTCGATTTGTGGTGACATCTGCTGCTTCGGAGTTTGACTCATCGTCCATTTCATCGGCGGTGGCCTGCTCAACGGTCGCGCTTGATTTTTCATCATCTGCGGGCAACGCTGTCGTGTCCTCTTCACCTACGGCTGCTGTAGAATGTGTAGACTCAACAGTTGCTGCCACCGTCGTCTCTTCAGCCTCATGCAATTCAAGCTTCTCCAGACTGGTTTCTTTGGTGGCGGCCAAATTCGCGGAGTTACTATCCTCCTCTTCATCGTACTCATCACTCTCACTGGAAGGCGTAACGGCCGATGTCGTCTTCACAGCCGCGGTGGTGGATTGCTTGAAGAGGCTATCCTTAACTGGCAATTTCACGCGTCCAGCCGCAAAGGGTCTTTGTACTTTTGCCACACTTACGGGCTCATTGACCTCGCGACTTATGAACACTGGACGCCTCGGCTGGAAGCTGCTTGACTTGTTGCCTGTCACGCGTCCAAAGCTCGGCCGCTGCGATGAGGCCTCGGGATTGTTGTAAGCAGTTTGTTGCTGCTGCTGTGGCTGCGACTTCAATGAGTTCTGCGTGCGACTCGCGCCGAAGCGATTGTAGCGTTTAGTGCTTGACGCAGGTGCTTCCGTGCTGGCTGTAGGAGTAGGGGTATTGGCGCTATTGGGTTGGAAGCGGTTGCGTGAGTTTTTGAATGGAGTTTGTGAAAACGAAGACTGGCTTGAATTGGGTGAGAAATCGGAATTGTAGTTTGTTGAGGCAGCGGCGGCGGCGATAGGACGATTGCGATTGGAAGTGGGCACGAAACCGCCACTGCCGAAGGGACGTTGAAAGGAACCAGTTAGACTGTTAGCCGATGGGCGATTGGCCGAGGCGGAAGCCTGTAAAAGAGATAAGATTTGTAGCGGATTGTTCAAATGAAATACTGATTTTGAATGTCGATATTTAAGGACCACAAACAAATGAAGTGAAGCAGTTTTTAAAAATGCCGATGCAATAGTGGAAATAATTATCAAGATACATTTTGCACAAACGAGACAATTTTAGGCATTTGTGCAACATAATGGCTAGTAAAGGTTCTTCGATTGCCTTTGAGACGCCTTAACCGTTTAATGGTCTCAACTGGTATTCTGAACTTTTTATTTTTGAGATAGTCTGCACTGAATATCTTGCATATTGGGGATCGGCTGGGAGCCTTAAACATGACAGGCCCTTTGGATGTGTAGTCGTTAGAGAGGACGTACTTTTTTTTACAGAAGACCCTCAGAGCTAAATTTAGGTTACTCACTGGCTATTTAACCGGTTATTCGGTTTTATGTAATTTGTATTCTTCAATTTTGAAGCATCACCAGTAAAAATACTACAGAGATAGTAATGCTTCATTTCTAGGAAAAGTTTACAAACGCCTTGTTGGCGTTTAACAGGTCCGACAGCAGGGCGTGGTACATACATATATACGTTTGTGCATATGTTTCCATTTTATTCATAATATTTTATTTCGCTTTTTCTGCATTGGACTTTGCTTTACGCCGACCAATTCGTAATCAATGTGGAGCAGCAATTTACTTCGCGGCGTTACAACAAAAAATTTACTTTCATATTGTTGTTGTTATTATTACTGTTCATATTATTATGCAATTGTACGATTTGAGTATTTTTATTGACTGATTCGTTTTAATCCGTTGTGCCTTGTCATGTGGCTTTTTGACCGTCGCGACGGTTTGAAAGTTTGTATTCGCCCTCAGTGTTTGTTTTTGGATTTGTGGCTCCCTCAACAAGTCGATTCCTCTTAGCCATGAAACTTTTTGCTCTAATACCTGACTGCCTATTTAAGCTAACTGGTTGAAACACTTGAAAGTGTGGCGTTTTCCGCTGAGTTAGCGTTGCACCGTACTATCACCTAATTTCTTGTGTGGTGTTGTTTGCCTTTGAGGCACTGCGACGGCACAAAACTGGGTTTGGCCTTAATTTATAGAAATGTAACAACGCGTTGCTCTACACAATTATATATGCTTCTATGTTAAAATATTTTTTTTGCCAGTTATTGCTGCTGTTTTTATCTGCAAAACTATTTAAACTTCATTGAGCATATTTTTCGTCTGCGTTTTTGTTCCTTAATTGCCGAAAAGTGTATAAACAAATGGATGTGGTTTAACAATTTTTTTTTTTTTTTTAGATACTCACCGGTTCATTGAAGTGCGCCAAAAATTGTGTCTGTTGATGTGGCACATTTACGCGGATGGGCGTTTGTTGTGAAGGCACAAATCCACCACTGTTCGGACGTATCGCCTTTGAACGTGTGAAGCCGCTAGCTGCGGTACTTAGACCTGTTGAAGCTGGCGCTCCGAAGGGGCGCGGTGAAATATCGTAAAAGTCGGGATTTCGAGTTTGCTGGAAGGGAGCAGAGGAAGGGAAAATAATAGTTGATATTTATTATAAGTAAAAAAGAACTTAAAAAAAAACGTAAACGAAAACTTTGGTGGTTAAACTGCCAGCAGACTTTAAGGACTAGCGTCTGAGTGTTTTCTTTTACTACTTACTGAATATTAAATCTAAGTCCGATGCTTTTCTGTGCTTCTACATCAGTGATGTATAGAGCTTTCTCTCTATGCGCGTCTATATAAAATCTACAGAAAGCTTTAAAAAGCTCTGCCCGTAGACGCTGTTTTTAACTTCTCTGTTCTAGATGAACTGAAAGAATTTCAAAACTATAGCTAGTGGACTGGTTATCGCTAAAACTCGTTATACCTAGCTCGTATAAGTCTTTGAGCTCCTAATATATTGAGGAAATTTTACAATAAACTTAAAAAAAAATCTAGATAGCAATCCAATGATTACTGTTACTAGTTTTTACATGTATAAGCGCCAAAAGCGGTAGTCATGAGAGTCAATGGGGCCTCATGCATAAAAAGTGAGCTTAAACTCCGACTCGACTTTCGGTATAATTTCTAGAGCTTGAGCTCACATATTTGGGGCAAAAAATTGGGTCTGAGCTTAAGCTTATTTTTTATGCAAGAGGCTTTGGGGTTATATGTGGAAATTATTAATGAAGTCAACCTTTGTCGGTTTAACAGAGCCCGTTGCATACGCTTTTAAGAATAAATATTTCCAAATTACAACGCTAGATATTCGATATTTTTTAACCGGTTTTCTAAAAATTATAAGGGTGTCAATTCATAGATTTTTTGTCTTCTTTTTTTGTGTGCGTATGTTACCGGATAAGTTTGGATCGCGTGAACCGATTTCGATAATGCTTTTTTAATAGATAATTCATTGTATTTATAAAGGGTGATTCGTTACTATTTCGGGTTACTTTCGGTAATTGAATAATGAAAAAGCATTGAAGTCGGCTGTGTGTTTTTTTTGCTTAAAAATTACTTGTTATAATTTTTTGTTATCATGTCCAATAACTTTTGCTATGCACGTACATATGTACATATGTATATCAATATTAATTTCTTAATTTTTTACGCCCGCACAACTAAATACAAACTCATTGTTACGCTCTGTTTGCTATTTGCTATAACAGCAACAGCTACAAAATGATGCATGTTGCACGTAACTACAACAACCAGGGTGCAACGATTAGACGGATTTTTAGAGCATTTTTTTCCATTTTTAGATTTTGTGTTTTTATTTTATTTTTATTTTTACTAAATGAAGATAAATATGCGAGTATGTGTACTAGTTTTTTTTTGCCCTCTTCGATTGGTGCTAGTCTACAGTTATTATACGAATATTTGTTTCTAGAGTGTGTGTTTATTTAGATATATATCTACAATAGCATACCAGCCCATTAGGAAAAATACATTAAAGGAAGAAATTATGGCTCACAAGCAGGGAATTTTCGGAAACATGGGAACCCGTCTCTGAGTTCTAAACGTAATATCAAAGAGAGTATTTTCATGATTAAAATTCCTTAACTCAACTTAGGCCAAAAAAAAAAAAAAAAAAAACAGTGGTAACTGCTGTGTTTGGACGCCCTGATCTGGGATCATCTTGCAGCGACTTCCTGTCATGCTTAAACTCTGGGCTACAACGTTTGAGTTTGGAAAATTAAAGTCCAGAATTCCCGTACACTGTAGATATCTCTTCAAATATTTCCGTCGGCGTTTTGTTTTTATTTCTGAGGAAGTTTATGACAACTCTGTACTCCGACTTCGTACAATGCGCGGATGACTCACATATGGTGATGTTAAAGGCTCAATTACTACTAGCGTAATGATGCTAATGCCAAAAAATTCGGTATTTATACTGCTAAGGATATTAGTGACACGCAGGACAAGTTCTTAATGACACTTAAAGGTCGTCACTTCTACCACTAAAAATTGTTGAACTTAAAAAAAAAAAAAAAAAAAATCATAAAAGTGTCCCCAAGCTCAATACAATTGTAAATTACTTATTATTGTTTTTAAAATCTTGCATATTTCAAACTAACAAATTTTCCTCCCGGCTATGCATTTTTGAATAAGTCTCTGTGTGAGTGGGTGCGTGTGCTACATAGTGTACGACATTTGTAGTCACACTCTAAGTAATTTAGCGCAATTGTAACGAGTAATTTGTGGCGCCACTGCAAAAATTCAGTCAAGCGCTTGCGGATATACAAATACTTGTACACATACATAAGAAAACATACAGACTATGAGCCTAACATGGAAACGTTGTAGAGCCTGCTAAGCGGTTCACTTAAGTTAATTGAGTGCGACAAATTAATTGTCAATTTGTTACTTTATTTAAAGAATTTCCGTTATTTGGTGGTAAAAAATATTACCATGGAGTTAGTGGTAGGAATCTTTATAAAACTGCGAAATCTTATGCTACCTACTTTTCAATATTTTCAAAAATACTTTAAAGTCTATTTTAATAATAAAACAATTAAGCAGTCTTAGCAAAAAATAAAAAAAAAATCAAATAAAGTCTTCAGCTTCAGCTACGTACTTTTCTCCCATTGCCGCTATTGGCTTTGCAATTTTCCTCTGTACAGCAATTGCTGGTTGACAGTGACCTAGACCTTTGCGCCAGCGTCTCGCGAATCTTCGTCGTGTGGTCGTCACCAGCTGCATTCACAGCCATTAAATTTATGTAATTATTATTGTCTTTTGTCGCATTTTCACTTGATGTTGGTGAGCCTTTCACTTTATGCAATAAAAAAAGCAGAAAACGCAACAACAACAATGGCTTGCTTAGTACTCGTACTATTGGTGTTTATTTGCCATTTGCCGGGTTACACTTTTTTCTGTTAATTGAAGCAAAATGTATAAAAACGTTGGTTGGCAACAATATGAGCCATGGATAATACAGGTGGACGGTGGTATGGAGGAAATTCTACTTTGTACTAAACGTATCTATTCACAAACATATATTCTGTATGCTTTTTTAAAGAGGTTGGCTTTTTAGAAAAAAAAGAAGAGTGTTTTATAACTAACTTGCATACACCTGGTTAACTTCCTTGTGTCAGTGTCATCAGCTACATATAAGCGAAGTAGTTTTCTTCTTACCCAATTTCTTTATATTTAATAAAGTTTTGTCACAACTGAATGTTACTTTTTTTTTGTTTTCATGGTTAATAAATTTTGTTTCAGATTTCATAAAGCAAGCGCCAAAACTACAAAACAAACATTAAGCTGAGAAATTCATCGTTTTACAGTAGTAAGTAGCAACGACAGTTGACACTCCATTTGAAAGTTAGCTAGTTATGTATTAAAAAACTGGTTTTTCGCTACTTTATTCGACTTTTTATGTTCTCTTAAGGTTGAATTTAGAAATTTGGTAATTTTAATTTTTATTTGCTGAAAGCAGTTGGCTACCATTCAATTTCGCTTCTTATATTTTTGCAAGAAAGATGTCAAAACTTTAGAGAGTGTGTATAAAGTGAACGAATATTGAAGAGAAGTTTGTGAATGCCGTCAACACATCACCATCCGAAAACAAACTGCATACACGATTTTTAAACTACATATATATGGGGTTCCCAACATGGCTCCGCTCCAGGACATAAGGCAAAATTGATTTATATTTATATGGCTCATAAGCTACTTTAGTTAAATGGTTTATATAAACTTTGTAAACTATATTCAGCTTTAGACGCTCTGGCTCTCACTACTTGACATCCATATATTGTGTCAAAGAAGCACGACCTCGCCGTTGCAGGAAGGCAACTGTGGAGTAATTTTAAATACGTTGGACTAAGTTGATATGTTATTCGGTACTATCGCTAAATCCATTGTAGTAAAACTTTGCATGAAATCTGCAAAAATGCTATTCCCGAACTGGAACAGCTACGAATGTAGTATTTACTTTGAAATTCGTAGATTTTACGAAAAAAGACTATGATTGATTCAGTAATAGCTCCGCTTATCTGACTTGGAATATTTTTTTGAAGAAATGTAGTCAATTGAGGCTCATATATCCTCTAATTTTATGATAGTATTATAGTTTTTATCTTAATTATACGACAACCGCGTATTGACTGCTTACTATTATTTTTTAAATTTTAATTCGTTTTTATAAGATTGTAGTTTCTTCAATAACAAAAACCTCAAAAAATTAACAAAGATTCATCACTTTTTATACAGAACTTTTTAAAAAATTTTTGGGTATGCGATTTTATAGCCCATTTAATTCTAGTATGAAATTTGCAAGTTTGAATTGGCAACATAACATCGTTGATTTGTGGCAATTTTTTTGTTGAAGGTGTTGCTAATTTTCTCCATCTAAAAAATTATTGAACACACTTCGTATTGAAAAAATTAAAAAAAAATTGTATTCAAACGGTATTTTTTAGACATTTCAAACTTGCACCTCATTATGCCAGAATTGAAAGATATATAAACTGGATACGCAAAAAATTTAAAAAAATTCTGAAAAAATTTATAATTTATGAAATTTTTTTTTATTTATTTTTTTATTTTTGTACAAAGCTTGAAGCTTAGATTTACACTATAGGGTTTTTGTTTTAAAATTAAATATATTTTATAAAATTAACTATATTTTTATAACAGATTTAAATAAAAACAAAATAAACGATCAAAACCTGTCAATATATGGGTGTCGTATAGTTATGATAACCATTATTTAATAACCAGGGAACGGATTTTTAGGACCGAAAAACCTATAAAAAAGGCAAAATAAAATAACGAAATAGGCTGGAAAAGGCAAAATAAAATAGCGAAAAAGGCAGGAAAAGGCACTAGGTCTTGCAATAAAGGCAAAAAAGGCAAAACAAAATAGCAAAAAAAGCAAAATAAGGCACTAAAAAAGAACAGAAAATATGAAGAACAATCAAAAAATACATTTATTTTAGAAATGTTTATATTACAAGTAAAATGAGAAAAACTATGAACTAGTTTCATTATATGAAAAATTTGTACTTTGAATCTTTGACTATTTTA